ACTATTCCATACTTAATAAATACTGCGCCTCAGGAGTAGGCAAGGAGTTAGTAGAGTCAGTAGTTCGAATGAGTCAGTAGTTCAAGTCAGTCAGTAGTTCAAGTCGAGTCAAGAGTCGAGTCAGAGGCAGTCCGAAACAGAGTCGCGTATAGACAATTACTGCAAGACATTGGAATAGTGATACTGGCCGAGACTACATTGTTCTCTCTACTAAACCTGATTGTTCATACTAACACTTCTACTTCTCTGTATATGTTCCTGTTTGTAATATATCTGTGTTATTCCATACCTGTGTTCCGAGTTCTTCTTTATTGGTTCTACCTTGGACTGTCACCGTGGTACAAGGAACCGGACCATAATACTAACATTGCTCTTTCCCTTTTGATGTTTGTGCATTTTTAAGTTTGATTTCATGCGATTTTGCTCATTTGCTCGTGCGTATATCATAACAGGGAATATACAATATTCACAATGCAATATTCACAATAAAATAGACGTGATATAAACAAATTGGCAAGGTGTTTTTAATTATCTAGTTATCTAGTCTATTTAATTATGTCTCAGTTTTTCAAAAAGGCTTTTCAACCAAACATTATGCGACCTTTTATTTCATTTTATAAACTAGAATTGGGAATGTTTCGAAAAGGGGAAATGTCACAGGGATTTTATAGTGCTGTGCTTTTAATGGGTTACTTTGAAGTGGACTAATGTACCTCTAAGATAGATTATTTTAACACTAATATCGAATGACTTACGTATTTCCCTGGGGAATGAGAGAGCCCATTTAGCATCCTAACGAGTTCTCCATAAACGTGGTTTTGTGCTAGAGTTAAGCCTTATTGAATATCCATCATCTAAAAAGAAATTTTCTAGGAAAAGGTAAAGTTAAAATTCTTAAAAACTGTGAAAACCATTAGGATTTTATTGTATAAATTAATTGTAAGAAAATCAATTTTTGAAATTTCTGAAATGATAGAACTCGAGGCCAAAAGATTCGATCTCAGAGACAACGAAAAATAGATGTGATAAATAATGGATGCCGTGATACAAGCAAACTGAGTTCATTTTAAAATAAAGCGGAAACTGGTGAAAATACACAGACCTTATGAGATTATAAAAATCAGCAGAAACAGTGATAATATTATTGGTAGACTTATACAACGGTCGACTAAAAAGGTTATAGGTTCATCAAGATCCTCTCATGGAATGTGATTAAATGAGGTTTCTTTTTCAACATTGTCCCACTTGCGGTTCACGTACTTCTTCCATTGGCGTTTCAATTCTTGCATCCCATTGGTGAAGAAGCTTTCATCCTTTTGGTCAAAAAACAGCAGCAGATTTGACGTCATCATCAAAGTGATACTGGTTCCTCGTCAGTGGCGTAGCTAAGGGGGGCGAGGGAGGCGGACCGCCCCGGGTGCCAGCACAGGAGGGGTGATACAATGTCGCCCCCAACAAAATTTTTCAACCAGGCTAAGGTGCCAAAAATAGTCTGGACACAGGGTTTCGCAGGCGGGCATATGACCCCACCCCGAAATGATTTATGACCCCCCCCCCCGCCGTCAGAAATTTTCTAATAAATTGTCGGGAAATTTGTGAGTAGGAAAAATAGCAATGTTTTCAGCTTTTGATTTGAACTGATTATTTTGTAGTATTGGATTTTGTCTTGGATCATACATGTAAACAGTAACGTACCGGTCAGGAGAGTAAAGTAGAGGTAGAGCATGTATGAAAATTTAGCTACAGCTAACCATTCAGCATAGGGTGAATCGGGGTCATTGGGGTGACATTTGAGCGGGCCGCCCCGGGTGACGTTTACTCTAGCTACGCCACTGTTCCTCGCCAATTGTTTTTCCATGTTGGAGAACAGATGATAGTCAGATAGGATCAAATCAGGAGAATAGAGATGGTCATGAACAAGTTAAAAGCCACAGTCACCAGCAACCATTGAAACCAAGGACTTGTGTGCTGAAAAATTGTTCTGATGAAACAAGACCCCTTTCGACAGTTTTCCTAATCGTTTAATCTTGATAGCCTTTTGTGAAGCACCTCAGCAAGTTGGCATGGTACACTCCATTGATGGTATGAACCTTTTGAATACATTCATTAAACACAATGCCGTTTGCATCCCTAAAAAACAAAACTTAGGCCATTACATTCCCTGCAGATGAAACGGTTTTGGCCTTTTTTTGGTGCAGGGGAGGAAGCGTGTTTCTACTTCATGGATTGTCTCTTTGTCTCTGGCTCAAAGAGATGAACCGAACAATTATCCTGGGTTAAGAAATGTTCAAGGAAACCAGCATTATCTGCCTCAAACAATGTGATCAGAAGATGTGGCACTCACGGAGCAAAAACCTTCGACATGCCAAGCAGGATATGCTGCTAGCATTGTCTATTTGATTTATAGCCAATCGCCTGTCATCCATCAACATGTGTTGAATACGATACATGTTTTCCTCAGTGGTGGCAGTTGGAAGGCGCCTATACGTTTGGTAATCTT